CCCTTGCACAAAACGACGATCATTTTTCTAATTTCATAAACAACAGAAGACTGTATTTTTTCTACATAACCCGCCCCCCTGACTTTAAAGCTGGATCCGCCCCTGGTTTGGAGCTGTAAAACTCACATTAAAAGAAGCTTTCCGGTCTTTATCCCAATCTCGGGGCAATAATTTCTTACCATCAATCACAAGAGTCCCATCAGGATTCAAGGTGTAACGCTTGGGAAGGTTATTGTGCGTCAATTGATTCCCATCTCGTAACCATCGTATGCTGGGTGGCTCTCCTTCGGGATTAGAAGCCTTGCAATGGAGAGTTACGTCACTGTGCAAAGGCAGAGTCTGATTGGCTGGTCCTATTTGAATGATAGGCGGAGGCAGATCAGCTACAGAAGTCACCTGCAAATCGCAGCTTTAAAATAATAATCAGCCAACTTGAAAGAAGTGCGCAATTAGCTGCAGATTACGAGTTTTGGAAGCGGTTGCCGACATATTTATCTGGAGCATTGCACTGTGCAGAACCCAAACAGTTATCTGCCTACTAGTAAAGTTGAAGCAATAAAATTAGGCCTTAAGGCGGCCACAGCGCAATCCTTTATTGTCTTTTTATGTGGCCGATCGCATTGATCAGCAGATTGTTATTAAATGCTGTTCCTAGCCATGGGACATTTCGCGTAACGGTACTGTTTGGCAAAGAAAAAACATGCGGAACTAATTGCTGCTGGAAATGAGACGGAAAACTGGATTTTCCATGTATTGCGTTTTTCCAGCGGTAGCCGTAGTGAAAAATGTCTGCACGCTAAAAACTAATTTCCTTCAAAGTACGTCAATTTTGGGCGATTGCGTGTCGTAATTTGCGGTTTAACCCGCAATTTTCAATCCATTCATCATTGTTTGGGAACTATCGCAGTATAACGTACACCGAAAACTCGATGTGTAAATGGATATCCCATTTATTTCAGATTAGTCTACACGAGCTTTAAATGATCCCGATTACAATCTGGGGAAAAACAACTATATTTTCACGTTTTGATTTTCCTGAATGGAAAACAGTCAACAAAACACGAACAGTTACCTGAAGAAAAGCTCTAACACTGTTGGACCCTGCAACACTGAGAGCATTGCAGACCAAAAACCCTGCATCTTCCCGTTGCACCCCTTGAATCCTCAATGTCCCATGCGCATTGACGTGCATATGACCTTAAACACATACAAAATACTTCACTGTTTTTGCTCAAAGGCCTTACTTTTCTGAAAAGAAGTGTCAAGCAATTCTTTGCCACTCACCATTAGAGTTATCACTGAACATCAAGATTTGTGAGCCTTCTTTGCTCCAAAACACTGAAGGTTTAGGGTGTCCAGTGGCCGAACAGTGCAATTCCACCACCCCGTTAAGGGAAGCTTTTTGGTCTTTTGGTCGTTCTACGAAGGTGGGTGGCGCTGCGAAGGGGAATTGTAAAAGCTTCAAATATTTGAATGAAAACGGGGAGTGAATATTTATGTGCGCTTCCAGGCCTCGGGATGCCTGGTTGTGCGTGATTGACCGTTTTTTTGGATTATATATATAAAGCAGAAATGTATTCATTAAACCAAATAGCTGGTTAATTATTTTATGGTTCACTTTATTGGTGTGCCGGAATTGAGCTTGAACTAAAAAACAAATGGAACAAATTGAACTGGATATGGGGAACCATCAATCACACTTTCAGGATTTATGGTTCTTCCGCTCCAAAAGTATTAAAAACTAAAATTGGTTTTTCACAAATGTTGCCCCCTGTTCTTCCTGCCATAAAATTGAAAAATAATCCTCATTCCTTTCCCATTTCCGTCGAGTTTGTATGTTTGAGCTCGGAAAACTGAGAAGGTCAATTACAATTTTTTTCTCAAACAAGCGTCGCACTAGAACATATGGCGATTCAGTATCCCACTTTTCCATAAAATCAAAGAAAATTCACGGTTTATGAATAAGAATAACGAAACTATTATCGCCCTCAGTTTCCTTTCAATTAAATCGGATTTTTAGGACTCGGCGTGTGAACGGTTTCAAATTTCGAGCCAATATCGAAGGAAACTTTCGTTGAACCGGAAGTTTCCGTGCCAAAAATGGGAGCACTGTCGCACAACGTGACTTTGAACGTGATTTTCCGGGAATTTATTTTATGAGCGGCAAAAGTCTGCAAAACTTCTAGAGTAGCTTAATGTCAAGTTCAAATTTCACGTACGGTTCCAGTTTCACTTTTTAGCCATAAACCCAAAACAAAACAAAACGAACGTGCAGTAGTTTGTTTGACTTTGAAAGTAATTCGCGCAACAGTTTCGGCTCTAACATTAAAAAAAGTTTAAACTGCTTTAAATCCCTAATGTATTTAGATTGATTTCGATGCTATTTTACTTAAACTTTTTGCTACCGTTACTCACAGTTTACTACTAAAGATGCCTTCGCCTCAAAGCTTCCGACGATATTCTCGGCGTTACAAATGTAGAGTCCCTCGTCGCCCAGTTGCACGTTCTCGATTTGAAGGGACTTGTCCTCTTGTATGGAAACCCTTCCCAAGGGCATTTTTCCATCGTCCCTTCTCCAAACAACATTAGGTGGCGGATCGCCGTCAGCCAAACATTTGAATGTCACTCTTTGCCCGGCCAATGCTTCTACATCTTGAGGTTCTTTGTTGAAGAACGGCTTAACTGGAAAACAAGATCTAGACTGATAAGGTTTTCTGCCGGAACATTTTCTACATTTATAACTATAAAATCACATGAAACATAGGAGGATTATCAACCTAGGCACAAGGGCGGATCCAGGGGGGGGTCATGGGGG